TATATATATATTTCTTAACTTCCACCAGGTTGTTTCTCTTGAATAGCAGTAAAGGAGTGAGGGCAGACAGACACTGGGGCAATAATGAAGGAGCTGCTCTGGTATGGCGCTGTAGGATCAACACTGGACTGTGAACCCCAAGATCAGCAGTTCAAACTTACCAGCTGCCCCTTGGAAAGCCTATACAGATATACAGAGTTGCTATGAGTCAGAACTGACTTGATGGCACTTAACAAATCTCTCCAGTACACAATAAGGCAATAATAACATGTGTAGCAAGTGGTCCTTGGTACCACCATACTCGTAATGTCCAGAGGCAGCCTCCACTACTTTCTGACCTCCCTCTAATTGCTCAGCAGTTCCTGAGTTCTACCGAGGCTATGTCTGGACTCTCCTGATAGATCCTGGCTGCCTGGGTCCCCATTCTCATTACTTTAACTCCACATCCTGCTCCCTCTGGCAGTAGCCTCCTGCTTAGCCTCCCCACATTTGGTTTCTCCTTGCTTAGACTCCTGCTCACCACTCTCATATTCAGGCATACTCCCACAATACTGCTTTCACGTCCCTGTCCAAACCCTCAGTGGTAACCAAACGGAGGAAGGAATTCCAAACCTGGCATTCTAGGACCTCCAGAAACAAATCCATATCAGACCACTGCTCTACACAAACACTGTGCTGTGTTTTCCAAACTCCACACTTCTGTTCAAATCAATGGAGAGAGTATCCACACAAAATGCCATCCTGTACTCATCAGTCTATTGAAATTCTAACCTATCCTTCAAGACCCAGTCCTAAGGTTTTCTCTAGCCTGAAACTGTCTTGATCCTCCCAACTCACAGAGGAAGAATGGGAACAAGAAGCACAGGGAGGAAGTGGGATAAATGATGTTACACTGCGGGGACTTCATCATTAAGATGAAACCGAGTGTAGATGTCCTGAATGTAAAACTGATGATCTGCTCTATAAACCTTCACTCAATTCACAATAAAAAGTTTTTTTAAAAAACACAATAAAATTATTTAAAAAAGAGGAGAAATTAAAAAAACTGAAGGAAAGCCAGGTTGTGGCTACCTAGGGATTCACGTTTTAGTGATTCGATAACTGAACAGATATAGTCGATGTTCTTTTCTGTATGTATTGCTGTAAAGTGCCATGAAGTTGGTGCTGACTACAGTGATACTGTATTGAGTTTCCAAGGCTTTAAATCTTCACAGGAGCAGAAAGCCTCATCTTTTTTTGTTCCAGAGGTATATCTCACAATATAGACTGTAAACTTTAGAATGAGTGTAAAGCTAATGTTCCTCCATGTAAACTATTACATAATAAAAGAAAAAAAAAAGAAGTGCACTAGAATGTCAAACACACACAAAAAAACAAAAAAAAAAACTGTGAACTTACAAAACATTGGAAAGAATCATTTTAAGTGAGAAAAGCTCAACTTTTGACCCTTTAAAAACAGCTGCCACTTAAAGAGACTTAAGGCCAGAGGAAGTGGCAGAGACAGACACATGGAATGCCACTCAAGGCCAACTGGTATGTGTGCTGCCTTACCCCCGGTACCGCACAGCTGGGTACTCCTTCAGGGTGGCACACAGAGTTGCAATCTGCTCTGCCAGGCGCTCCAGTATAGGATTCTTCATTTGAGCCTTGTGGGGACTGTAGAAGCTTTGGAAAGAATCAGCAGAGTCCAAAGAATACACCTGAGGTGGAGAAAAAGATATATATGGTGTTTACATACAGAATGATAGACTGTTTTTCCAACCCTGGTAATGACACTGCAGAACATGCTTTACTTTATTTTACAAATATGTGCTGAGTGTCTACTATGTGCTAGATACTGTGATAAATAAACACTTGGGAGCTTTTAGTGACCCAAACATACACACATACACATAGCCCTGTCCACGAGGAGCTTACAGTCTAGTAGGCATAATAAACATGAAGAAAAAGTAAATTTTATGGTATGAGAAATTGGTTAAGTACATGAGAAATTGACAGAATAAGGGAAAAATACCCAGGAAAGCAGGGCCTCAATTAGAAGGTGACAGATGAGCAAAGACTATGAAGTAGGTGAGGAGTTTTGTACCAGCAGGGTGCGAAGGCCCTCAGGCGGAAGGGGGCCTACAGTGGCTGAGGGACAATTAAGAGGCTGGGAAGAGAACAGGAATGGAAGTTAATAAAACCTCAAGGCCACTGCAAGTTTTGTTTAAATAAAAATAAACAAAGGATAGGCTAGAATTGTGCTGTGACCATGGGTAAATTAAGAGCTTTTTAATGGATTTAACAATACCTTCTCTTCAGTAGTATATGCTAAGTGTTCTTTTTTCAGTGAGTGGGTGTGGGGTGGGGATGTTTGGAAATTAGGAGCCATGGTTGCACAGGAGAAAAATGTAGCAGTCTGCTTCTGTGAAGACTATAGCCTTGTAGTGTTGTGTTCACAGGACCAGACAGTGTTTCATATGACCTCAAGGGCACTTAACAACAAACAGTTCAACAAATACTTTTGAACACTTTTGATTAAGTTTATACCTCCAAGGATCAATCCCAAACTGCATTCTAACTGATGGAGGAAGAGCCTGTTTTCTGGAGGGATCCTAGTACAGCTACTTTCTCTTAGAGTCAATGAGAGGACTGGGCTCACAAACCCACACTGAGGGTATCACATCAAACCAGATGATTTATATTTCAGTCTCAAACTGAAAACTTGAATTTTTTTGTGTGTGTGAAAAGAGAGCTATAGAATCTTTTTAATGCTCCCTTCTTTCCTTTGAAGTTGGTGCACATCTTAATAATGCTGGCATACTTGCAGACTGTAGTGCCAGGATTGGGTACTCCACAGAACACCTCTGAATGTGTCAGCACGGCTATTTCTATTTTGCAGATGAGGAAAACAAAGTGCATAAATAAATCAGTGACAGACACAGAAATCAAATCCCAAACTCAGCTTTCAGTCCTAATTATGATCATGAGGTCTCAAGGTTTTCTGACTACCACCACACTCTCCTCTTTCAGACTCTAGGTCTCCAGAGCTGGTCTGAGCACAGCAGGGTGAGGACACATTCAGGATATCACATCTAGCCACACCTGCCAGTAGGGCTCAGGACTCCACAAATCTCTCTTCGGTAATTCCATGGAAAATGGAGCCTTTGGAAAGAGTCAGACATGCAAAATCCAGACCGATCTAGTCCCTACCATTGGGAGCCGAACTGCATTGGCTCCAGAGAGTTGAGACAACACGAACTAGTAGGATTTCCCATCTCTACTTCCTAAGACTCTATAGGATGTTCAAGGTCAAATGGTTACAATTCAGCACGGTAAACAGACATGGCAGAAACCTGGCCCTGGGAGGAAAAGTCCTACCTGCTCCACTCGGCAGAGTTTATCTACGGTGCCTTGGTAATGCTTCATACAGTCCTCAGCAAGGTGCAGGTGGGTGGAATACTGGGAAAAAACATGAGACAGCTTGTGAACAAGGAGCTCGTCACAGATTCATGCACCATCTACTGAGCATCTGCTATGGACAAAGCACCATGGTAGAACTACAGAGTCTCTAGCTTCACAAAGAAGATAATGGTGATGGCTTTACAATCTGCCCACAGAATCCTGCATACTCCTCTCCTTCAGGCTGTGGAGTTTAGTTCCCCTTCCCCTGAATGTGGGCCAGACTTAGTGCCGAGCAAGTGACAGGTGTGATGTCTGACATCAGGAGATGAAAGGCGTTGTGACCTCCTCCTCCTCGTATGTGCCTGCTCTCTCTCGGCACTCTCTTACCATGCAGGGAGGACACTCCAACAGCCCTGTGGCCTCCTCTCAACAGCAGGAGAATAGGAAGGATATAGAGAGAAAGGTATGAATACGAGAAAAGAAAGCGAGAAGTAAGATGCCTATCCCAACTTTTCTTTTTTTCCTAATAAAAATTAAAGATGACTAAAAAAACCTGTGTAAATTAGTGTATCCAGACTTTTGAGAAGTCATTTGGAAGATGTTTATCCTCACAGTTCTAAATGGGTCGTTTTGCATCGCCATACCTTGCTGAGTTCTTTCTGGTACTGGGGCATCTTCTTCAGCATCTGGGACAGGTCCCGCATAGTGGTCTACATGGAAATGAAAGCATGAGTCTCACTCCACTGGCTCTGCTCTAACAAGGCTGTGCATGGGTGGTGGGATCAGATGAGATTACAGTGAGCACCAGACGTCTCAAGTGCACGCTGTGTAACTAAATGTGTCTGCTAAACACAAGGTCATAGGCGTGCAGATTTCCAGCTCCCTGGTTAAAAAAATTATTCAAATACCTTAATCATATTATAGGCGGGGAACTGAACTCTGAAATCTCACAACCATGTTTTATTTATTCAACTATAAAGTTATTGAGTCCTGGTGTGGCGCTGTAAGATAAGGACTTGACCGCAAGGTCGATATGAATCGCAAGATTGGTGGTTCAAACTTCACCAGCTTCTCCTTAGAAACACTGTACAGGGTTGCTATGAGTTGGGACCAACCTGATGACATTTACGCTGGGCAGAAAAAGATTTTTCTTCTACACACTGCTTTTCTGTACACTCAGCTCAAGCAGTCTAGCAGGAAGCTCACATTTCAGACAGGCGAAGGGCTGTGCTGGCTTCATTAAGGAGGAGGCTATAGAAGGCTGCAATCCGAATGCTGCCTAATGGAATGGGTCTGTTTACTTCCCAGATGCGTGATCCACCTAATCCTATTCATCCACATTTACTGAGTTACCCTAACATGCCAGGAACCTTGAGGTGCTATAAATACCAGGACAAAATAATAATAAAAAGGAATTTCTGCCTTATGGAGCTTAATACCTAGCAGAAGAGCCAGATAAGTAAGCTGTCACAGTAGAGTGGCACTAGTATTATCCAAAGGAGTCCTGGTGTGACACTATAGGGTAAACACTGGACTGCTAACTGAAAACAGCCACTCCTGAGTCAGAACTGACTTGACAGGACTTAAAAATAACAGAGTCACTCGATTAGCACATAGCAAAGGCACTTTAAAAAGACTAGGGAAGATTAGGAAGTGATGCCTGAACCAAAGAACCAGGATTTAGCAAGACAAGGGCCAGAGACAAGAGAGTACTGGCATGGTCGGGGTTAGAGGGAGCAGGGACAAGAAGGACAGAGGCTGAGAGACTAAAGAAAGAGACATGGGGCCTGGTGACTTCAGTCTTGTAAGGGATGTCTATGTTGTTGCTAAGTGCCATCAAGTCAATCTGACTCAAAGTGACCGTGTATGGATAGGGTTTCCAAGGAACAGCTGATGGTTTTGAACTACTGACCTTGTGGTTAACAGTCCAGTGTATATGAGTGGGGCTTTATTCTAGGGCACTGGGCAGTCACTAAATGGTTTTAAGCAGGAAGGCAACACAATCAGAGCTTCATTTTAGAAAGCTCACTTTCATTGGCTAAGAAGGGTATGCAATCTCTGATAAACATTCAAAAGGAGAGGCACAGGTTAAGTTAAATTATGAATTTTAATTCTACTGTAAGCTTAGAAAACTTCCAAAGCCTCTCTAACGTAAATGAATCATGATCCAAAGAGTAACTATTAATCCTCAAAATAACAAAAAGAAGTTGTCTAAAATATTAAAAGATCTGAAAAAATCAGCATAAGATAGCAATGGCATTAAACAAAGAGAGGAATACGCTAGTCTTGTCCTGATGAGGTATCCTCCCTGCTCGAGAGAGAAGGCAGGGATTAACTTAGAGGGTATCTGAGCAAGGGTATGGGTTTACCTTCTCTCCAGTGTTCATTCTCTTGCTAGAAGAAAAATCTTTCAGAGAACGAGTGACCTCCCTGTGAAACAGGAGCAGACAGAACTCAGTTTAAAAAGTAACGCCAAGTGACTCTACACAGAAAGAATGCAATAGTCTTCTTTTAAGAATATACAGCAACGGTTTCCCTGCCAGTATGGTAGGTGTTTATTTAAAGTGATTTTCTAAGAAAAGAAAGAACTACATAGTTTTTCAAATATTCGAAAACAGTGGTTTCCCCGAGAGCATGGGGAAGAGGGTAGAAACTACTAAAACATCTACAGGCGCACCTTCTTTTATTGTACTTTTCAGATATTGTGTTTTTCAAAGATTGAAGGTTTGTGGCAACCTTGAGTTGAGGAAGTCTACCCAAAAGCATGTGCTAACTTCCAAGTCTCTGTGTTACATTTTGGTAATCCTCACAGTATTTGAACTTTTTCATAATGCTATTGCATACTTAATAGACTATACAGCATAGTGTACACAGAACTTTGATATGCATGGGGAAACCAAAATGTTTATGTGACTTGCTTCATTGTGGTGGTTTGGAACTGAACTGGTAATTAATACCTCTGAGGTCTGCCTGTATCCATAATTATCTTACCTTATCCTTTTCATGTTTATGCTTTTGTGTATGATAGAAAATATACATATGAGTACAATAAAGCATACATTTAGTTCACAAATCAATTTAAATACTGGAAATGGGGATCAAGAGTTTTTAAAGTTGAGAGATCAAAAGGGTGTGGAGACCACTTTTTTACACAGAAACATCCACAGCTCGCTCTTTTCCATGTGAATTTCCTGATATTACTAAATCAACACAGTAGAATGTGTTTTCCTACAAAAGCAGAACTGTCATCTATAGTTTGAATGTATTCTAACAATATCTTGGTTTTAGAATCACTCTGAAATACTGTCAGAGTAGGGTACAGATCAGTATGTGGATATCAACTTTTGCTCATATCATGACAACAGGGGAGGAAATACTAGCTGTGCAAAAGAAAAGTCTAACTTTATGCAGTAGGTCTGCATCTTTCTATGCAATATCTTGGCTTTCAGTGTTTGGTGTTTATAAAACATTTTGCTGAGATGACTACAAATGCTTTCCAAGAATCCTAAAAGCAACCCTCATACAGAATGGATTTTCTAACTGTCGAGTTGGTAATAACTCAAGCTTAGAGACCAGAGGGATATATCCTTCTTGGTTTGCATGTTGGCCGTTCCACCAAAGCAACAGTCATCTAGTGATCAACTGTGCCCCAGCTGCCCAGAGTATGCACATCATCAAATCATCAAGGGGGGGGGGGCAGGGCACGCTTACTGGGACACCTCGGCGATGTGCTTGTGACGCAGCGTTATCCAGAGATCGTCATCCTCGTCCAGGAGCACCTCCTTCACCCGTGCCTCTCCAATGCCGCTTGTCTCGTACCTGGAGGGGACGCATGGCTCAGGTGGAGCACGCTGTCCCACAAAATCCACCCACTCCTCTGTTCTTTATAAAGAGGAAGCTCAGAGTCTTTACAGGCGATGTTACAGGAATGATTTCACCTGACCCTTTGATGGTCATCAGGCCTGCTGTAGCAGCACTAATAAATGGGCTGCAATTCCTTGGGCAGGGAGAGGCTCAAAGCGTCAATCAAAGTCAACTAACTTGATAATTTGTTTGAAAATCCTCAAGGGTGGTTATTAATATGAGCACCAGCAGACTATACATGGGTTTACAATGAAAACCCAAACCCAAACCTATTGCCACTGAGTAGATTCCCACTCACAGTAACGCTACAGGGCAGGGGAAAACTGCCCCATAGGGGTTTCCGAGGCTATAAATCTTGATGGAGCAGACTGCCACATCTTTCTCTTGCAGAGTGGCTGGTGGGTTCAAACTGCCGCTTTCAGTTGGCAGCAGAGTGCTTTAATCACTGCATCAACAGAGATCCAATGACCATAGTTACTCTTTCCAAGAATGGGACTGGTTACTAACCTCAAATATGTGGTACCCAAGTACAATAAATCCTGCAAAAACGAGAACCTGTGTAAGGTGGAAACCTGTTGGAGAAGGAAAACTAAATATTTCGCACTAATAGAGAGTGAGATAAAGTGCTAAGACTACACATTGTCGAAAATGGGAAACTTGCGAGACCTGGAAAAACAAGGCAGTCTGGTGGAGTTTCAGCTTTCGCAGGCTCTACTTTAGCTTCAGTAGGTACCTGCAACAGACTCTCCATATGTTTTTACCTGTGAAATCATTAACATTCCGAGGAAAGCAAAAATTACAAGACTAACTGAAAAAGAGAAGAGCAGATTTTTCAAACTTTCACTTTGAAACCACTATTTTTGTGGTCAATAATATAAATGACATATGAACAGTACAGTCTGTCTCCATAAAAATGAAAATTAGTCTTTAGAAATGCAGTTTCTGATGACTGCTACTAAGAAAAATGTCCTTTATAATGTAGGAAATGACAACTCCTCTCCAAAGGCAGTTCAGAAAAAAACTCCTGTTAATATACAAAAATTTGTGGGGAAATGGAATGAAAAGATACTGGAATCTTTCCATGAACTTTTTGCAGCCCCCTATATTTTACCATTCATAATTCATGATCTACAATTAAGAAGTATGAACTGAATGTAAAATACCTCTTTTTTTTGGAGGAGGGGGTAGGGATCACATCCAAGCTGGCCATGAACTGTTGTGACCAGATGTGTGAACTACAGACCCAGAGCCCTCTGCTCCTCCCCTAAAAGGGGCATGATTTTCTGGCTAGAAATACCATATGGACTTTGGGAACTCACTGAAAAGTCTGTAAATTTATCATGAAGACTGTTATCAATATATCTGTTTTTCCTGGGATTTAAAATGTCTTTCTCAAGTTAGAAACATTTTTTATTTGTTTACAAAGCTACAGCGTCTCTGGGGTCTGCCATATGATACTCACTTGTACACATCATTTTCAATAGGCAGCAAGTCATAACTCATCGCCTGGAAAGTCAGTTCATGAAGTACCGGGGAGCTGGGGTCAAAGCCCCGGTCCAGGATCAGAAGCTGGGAGCGTGCCTTGTCTGGGCCCTGGGAAGAAAAGAAGGACATGCTTTTACAAGCCACTGCACATAGCTCCAGCTTCTCCAACTAGGGTAGCTCCTCTTGTAAGAGGGGGAACAGGAAATGAGCTCTGAGGTACAAACTTAACAAAGTGGTACTGAATTAACTGTTCAACAAGAATACTAATGAAAGCCACTTTAGTATCCAACATTTGTACTGTATAATAAGATTTATCCGTCTAGATTATTTTGAGTTATGGTGTTGGAGAGGAAAGTGCCAAAAGAACGAACAGATCTGTGTTGGAGGAGGTGCAGCCAGAGTGCTCCTTGGAGGCCAAGATGGCCAAACTTCGTCTCTCATACTTCGGACATGTTGTCAGGAGGGACCAGTCACTGGAGAAGGATATCATGTTTGGTAGGGTGGAGGGTCAGAGAAAAAGAGGAAGACCCCCGACGAGATGGACTGGCAAAGTGGGTTCAAGTGTGGCAACAATAGTGAGGTTGGCCCAGGATCGGGCAGTGTTTCATTCTGCTGTGCATAAGGTCGCTATGAATCCACACCAACTCGATGGCACCTAACAACAGGGGCCAAAGTGAGTAGGAGAGCACTAGCCAGGTTCAGCTACAAATAGGTGGTTGACCATTCTGTTTTGCCTGGTGTGGTGCTGTGGGTTAATGCGCTGGACAGCAAAAGTCATTTGAACTGCAAGGTCAGCGGTTCAAGCTCACCAGCCGCTCCTTGGAATCCCTATCTATACAGGGTCTCTTTGAGTGGGAACTGACTTGATGGCAATTAACAAAAACAAGGGGAATCCCAGGTCTCAGTTCTGTATCTTGAGGTATTATGTGAATCTATGCATACAATCGACTCGTGGGGGTTTTTTTTTTTTTGCTCCATAGGGTTTCTAAGACTGTAAATCTTTATGAGAGCAGACAGCCTCATCTCTCATCCTTGGAGCAGCTGGTAGGTTCAAACTGCTGACCCTGCAGTGAGCAGCCTAACATGTAACCCACTAACTATGTCACAAAGGCACACATATGAATCCACGTAAACACTGGTAAAATCTGAGTATGGGCTGCGTATTGTGTCAGTCTTTTGGTTTTGGTATTGTACTGCTGAGGGGTTTCCTGGGACACAGGGCTTTCGGGGCTAAATCTAGGAAAGTCCTAAACCCAGACGAGCTGGTCACCCTAGAACACTGAAGGTAGTCTATGTCACCTGCTGCAAGGGCTATGAGCATTCACTGGAGGCCAATACACAAGAAAAGCAGTACTCTGTGAGCAGCAGAACTGGGCTGTCTTCAGGACACAAATATTATGGTCAGCTGACAAGAGAAACACGTGGTCGATGTCCAGACTTACCTCCCCCATTGTTGGATCATCGGCTTTATAAGCATCGAGCTTGTCCTGGATGAGCTGAGCCAGCAAGGCATTGTCTTTGTATTCCCTGACAAAGGAGAAGTGACAGAATGAACTGCCCATACGTCCTGATGTGTACAACCCAATGGTGGCTCCCAGAAAGGGAGACAGGACAGTGTAGAGAGTCAAGGGCAGGGCTTTGAACTGGTTCATTCTACTTTAACCCCCTGCAGAGGATCTGTATTTTCACTCCAGATTCACAGAATCAAAATCTACATTTTAACAATACGCCCAGTTACTTAAGAATTACCTGGGGGATGTTGTTCAACTGTAGATTTGGATTCAGTATATCTGGGATGGAAAGGCAAATTCTCCCTCTGGTCAAGGGATAAGTAAGTTCTATCTGTTGTCTTTTTCTTTTCTTTTTTTACAATGAGAATATACTTATATATTAAATGTATAATCAAAGAAAAGATATTAGCTCAGTGCCTGGAACATAAAAAGTTTTTTATTTTGTAGTTCTCCCCCTCCCCCCACCACCCCCCTTACACTACTACAAGAAAACAGAATGTCTTTCCAAGCAACCTCAGTAAACATAAACAACCACACTTCAGCAGAGGACCTTGACTGACCTTTCATCCTCTTTCAGGATCAGCTGCCCGGAGCCTAGCCCTCTTGTTTCTCATTCAATTCAAATTCCATGGGGTCTTTTTTGTTTGGTTAGTAAACAACATTCTAGCCAACACAGGCAAAGGATAAACATGAGAAGTTTTGAACTTTTCCTGGAGTTAAGCCTGCCATGTCCTGGGCCTTTACCTGATTTTATATTGTGTGGCTGCTGCCTACCACCATGCCATCCTAATAAAGCAGCTCCACACTCAACCAGGTCCCTCTCATGCACGTTAATGTCAGGAAATATATATATATAT